CGCGTACAGATGACACCGTACCCCGAAACTCCGGATGATCTCCCCCAGCGGCTTCATGCAGATGTTAAACAATATGGGAAACAATATTGAGCCCTGAGGAACCCCACAAGACAATGGTTGTGGGGGTGAACAGGTGTCCCCCAACACCTTCTGAGATCGACCCTCTAGGAATGACCGGAGCCACTGCAGAACAGTACCTCCAAGACCCATCCCCGCGAGGCGTCCCAGAAGAATACCATGGTCGACGGTATCGAAGGCCGCTGAGAGGTCAAGCAGCACCAACAGGGACACATTCCCCCTGTCGAGCTCCCGGCGCAGATCATCCACCAAGGCGTCCAAGGCTGTCTCGGTACCATGTCCCGGCCTAAAGCCAGACTGTGCCGGGTCTAGATAATCTGTGTCTACCAAGAATACCTGGAGTTGTGAGGCCACCACACATTCCAAGACTTTGCCCAAGAAGGGGAGATTGGAAACTGGCCGATAGTTGTCGAATTTAGTGGGGTCCAGTGATGGTTTCTTCAACAGCGGTTTTATTATAGCTTGTTTTAAGCTCGCTGGAATCTTGCCTTCCCGAAGGGAAGCATTAACTACCACCTTAACCCACTCAGCCAATCCCCCTCTGGCCTCCTTTAGAAGCCAGGATGGGCAGGGGTCCAGGATGCATGTGGTTGGCCTCATTCCTCCAAGTATCTTGTCCACATCCTCGGGTTTCACCAATTGAAATGAATCCATCAAAACTGGACAAGCAGGTGCTCGTGTTACATCCTCAGAGACTGCCATTAACATGGTATCCAGACCAGAACGGATCAAAGCGACTTTGTCTGCAAAGAACTGAGCAAAAGCTTCACTGCAAGAAGTTGAATCGTCAGGGTTCCCACCTTGAGCGGAGGGATTTAAAAGGCCTCTGACAATTCGGAACAGCTCAGCCAGACGATTCTTTGCAGACACAATAGTGGCCGCAAAGAAGGCCTTCTTTGCGGCTTTTATTGCCACGGCATATGCCCTTAAAAAGGACACAAACCGTGTTCGATTTGGCTCACTCGGATCCGAACGCCACACACTCTCTAGTTCCCTCTTCCTTCGCTTCATTGCTGCCAGCTCCTCGGTGAACCATGTTCGGTGAACCATGTTCAGATGGAATCTCCTCTTTTGTAGTTTGAAGCCATTGTTCCATTGTGTCCTAGTCTCCAGGGAAGCAGAAAACAAGCTTGCTCTCTCCTCTTCCCTGTGGCTTCCTCTCACATATGTATACATGGCTCTCATCATATCTCCTTTCAGCCTTCTCTTCTTCAGGCTAAACATGCCCAGCTCCTTAAGCCGCTCCTCATAGGGCTTGTTCTCCAGACCCTTGATCATTTTAGTCGCCCTCCTCTGGACACATTCCAGCTGTCTTTGGATGTCAAAGTGTAATAAGAAATTGAATGTGCAAATTTGATAAATGTGAATTTAATATGATGTGTGGGAATGAATGGAAGGATGTATGAATGGAGTGAATGATTTTGGAGACATCAGTAAAATATGAAGGCCTGCAATCACTAACTACCTGCTTGCTGGATTTGCTAATGAGAAACCCTGGTAAGAACTGGGAGAGCGATAAAGGAAATGTTTGCAACCTTCCTTATGTTGAGAAGGAAGTCAACACAAGCCTTGTGTTTGTTAACACCAATCAAAAAGATCAACACTGAGATGGAAGCCAGGACGGAAGACGTCTATCATTAATTTACAACTTTGGGACGACATCGATAGAATATGCCTATAAAAGGCTCAGCCTAATAATGCTCAAAGTGTGACAGACAGAGACACTGTTCACCCGCCATGCTCTGCTCCATGGGAAGGACAGGAATGGTGTATTCGGAGAGTGGCAGATCTGCACAGGAGCAGTCTGGTCACTTTGGGGCTTCTCTCTCAAGGGAAGAGGAAGAAGGAAGGCGCTTTTGGAGTCTTAGATTTTGTGCAGGGAGTCAGGTCCTGTTGTATGGAAAACAGAGATCTGGTCCTTGGCATTGTTCTTAGGGAAGAAGCTTTGGCATTTTGAAGTTATGGCGTTATGGAAGTATGCGTTGGCAGGCTGCAGGAAATCAGGGTCTGGCCTAAGAGGTGCTCCTCCAAGGAGGGAGAAAAGGATATGGTAATATTTGGATGCATGTGGATGAATGCGTGTACATGTGGGTGTGAGTGTTGAGTGAAAATGCAACTCCCCTTTGTTTGTTTGTTAACCAATGTAATTGTACATCCAATGTAGTTGCATGGAATCTGTATGTCTAAATGTTTTTCTGTAATCTGATATACCTTCTCACACTGGCAATTGCAATAAAAAGATCCCATGCTTCAAAGTTATTGAAAAGTCATTCATGACAAAAGCATCCAAAAAATTATTCTGCATGTTGTTCAAGCAATTTGACAGCGCAAACCTCCTCCAAACTCTGCCAGACTCACTCCCAGGGCGCCTGGCATCCCTAACGCACACATTGGACGGAAACGAGCACATTTCAAAACATATCAAAACATAGCGTGCAACCGGTGCCATGCAAGTGCCCTGATTTTCCTTGACACACACACAGACACCTATCTATCTATGAACATGTTGTTCCGGTAAATCCTTGCAGGACACAAGTATGTGTGTGAAGACAAACNCTGGCTAGAGCAGCCCTTGGAGCCAGAAGGGGGCCAGGCCTCTAAGTGATGATATAGGCAGAAGACAAGATGTATAATACTAATAATATTAATAATACTAATAATAAATAGGACTGCAAATAAGAATAAAAAGACTGCTAAATGGTAAAGAATAATACTAATAAAGTAAGACTGCTGATTGGCAAATAATACTAATAATACTAATAATAATAAATAGGACTTCTGAGTGCTAAAAATATATTAATAATATTAATAATAAACAGGAGTGCTGAGTGGTAAGGAATAATAATACAAATAATAATAAAATAAGACTGCTGAGTGGTGATTGATGATGATGATGATGATGATAATAATAATAATAATAAACAGTTGTAAAGCATAATAATGTTATTAATAAATAGAACTGCTAAATGGTAATAGCAATACTATTAAAAAGACTACTAAGTGATGAATAATAATAATAATAATGACTGTTGAGTGGTAAAGAATCATAGTAGTAATAAGACTACTAAGTGATTTTTAGTGCTGTATGTGTTTAATTCTATTTTAATGTTTGCATTTTTGTATATTTTACATTGTGTACTAATGCTTTTATGTCAAGCCATTTTGAGCCTCCTTTGGGGAGATAAATGGGGTATTATTATATTAATAATAATAATAACAGTAAAAATAGGATTGCTAAGTGAGTGGTACAGAATACTGATAAGATGTCTGCTGAGTGGTAAAGAATAATAACAGTAATAATGAATAAAGTCAGTGCTTGCTAGCCTCAAAGGGAACAGAATGTAGGGACTTCTTAATTCTATGTTTTTGTGATGTCTAGTCCATCTTAGAGAGCAGCCTGCAGGCTCCTAAAGGCCAGGAGAAATCTTTGAAAAAGTTGACTACACAGGTTGCAAAAGGCAAAGCTTCAGCAGGTGAGTCTGGATCTCCTGGTCCATTCCTCCTCCTCTTTTGAGAAACTACAGCTTTGACAGCGTAGAGTTGGCTTTCCACAATTGTCTGTTTTTAAGGCTGCTTATTGGCACATCTTTGGCTGCGGTCCTTTTTGACTTTTGATCCAAGCCATTTCAAACAGTCCCCCTCTCCCTAAATGAGCCAGTCCAAGTCATAAGTCCTTTGGATTTTTCTGTCTAAGTGTTATTATGGGTCCTTTCCTGTGGCTGCTGCCTTCTGCAAACTACGTATTATTTAAATACGATTTTAGCTTATTGGGATAGGTTTTTAATACTTATATTTATTTATTTAGTAAATATTTATTTACTAGCTTGGGTACCCAGCAATGCCTGGGTTATTTGAAAAAGTCATTTTTTATTTTAGAAAAAATAAATAATAGAGTTGTGAGTTAATCCCTCAAACGCCATCAGTACTTAAAGTTGGGCATGTGTGGCAGGTTTGGTCTAAATGTGTCATCGGTGGGGTTCAGTGTGCTTTCTGCCTGCAGGATGAACTACAACTCCCACCATGGTGGGTCAGTCCCCTTAAACCCCTCCAGTAGGTTCAGTTGGCCACGGTGTTTCTGCGTGCCAACTTTGATCCAGGTCCATCATCTGTGGGGATCACAGTTTCTCTGGTTGCAGATGACCTTCAATTCCCAAAACTCAAGGTCAATCTCTCTCAAACCCCTCCAGTATTCAAATCTGGGTGTAACTACAACTCCCCCAAATCAAGGTGAATTTCCCCCAAAGACCTCCAGTATTGTTTGCTGGTCATGGGGGCTCTGTGTGCCAAGTTTGGTCCAATTCGATCTTTGGTGGAGTTCTGAGTGTTCATTGATTGCAGGTGAACTATAAATCCCAGTACCTACAACTCCAAAATGCCCAGGACAATTCCCCTCAAAACGCACCAGTATTCTAATTTGTGCATATTGGGTGTGCATGCCAAGTTAGTTCCAGGTCCATCACTGGTGCGGTTCAGAATGCTCTTGGATTGCAAGTGAACTATACATCCCAGGACCTACAACTCCTATAAATCATGGTGAATTCTCCCCAAACCTGTCTTGTATGTTCAGTTGCTGATCTGTTCTGCTGTTTGCTGTGTGCCATAGGAAAAGGTTAAGGGGGGAGGCAGTGGGCGGGGTCATGCAAATTCCACACAAATAGAAGAGTCAGAAACACTGGGATGCCTACGGTGGAGGAAAAACAGAAAACCTAGGATGAAATTATCTGTATGAAAGCCTTCACTTGGGTGGTGGGCAGTATTGCGTTTGTGGAGGACATTAGGAAGGCTCTTGGACATGGTTAAGGTTTGGGGAGAATTCATCATGATTTATAGAAGTTGTAGGTAGTGGAATGTATTGTTCACATGCAATCTAAAATCACTGAACTCCACCAAAAGTAGAATTGGCCCAAACTAGGCACACAGAGCCCCCATGACCAACTAAAAATACTGGAGGTCTTTGAGGGGACTGGCTCACCATAGTGGGAGTTGTAGTTTGCCCTACAGTCAGAGAGCATACTGAACCCTATCCATGATGCATCTAGAGCAAACTTGCCCAACATAACAAACTCTAAGTACTGATGGAGTTTCTGGGGGATAACCTGGCGTGATGTGAGTTTTAGTTCACCTACAGCCTTATGCATTTTGTACAAATAAAAATTGACTTTTTCAAATAACCTGGGCAACGCCGGGGACCCAAGCTGGTCTATATATAAAACATATGCCAAACAAAGAACAGAAATCAACCTAGAGCATCAATAGAGTGTATATAATTTTTTTTAAAAAAATGAAACCTTAAAAATATGCAAACAATTTAGAATGCATTGTTACCTGTTTTAAACCATTATTATTATTATTATTATTATTATTATTATTATTATTATTATTATTATATCCCGCTTTTTCTCTCCATAAGGAGACAATGTGCTGAATAAGAAAAGCAACAATAATTCTATATAAAGGGTCTAATAATAAAGAGCCTCCTGGTGACACAGCAGGTTAAACTGCTGAGTTGCTGAACTTGCTGACTTGGCAGTTCAAATCTGGGGAGCAGGGTGAGCTTCTGTTGTTAGCCCCAGCTTCTGCCAACCTAGCAGTTCGAAAACATGCAAATGTGAGTAGATCAATAGGTACGGCTTCTGCAGGAAGGTAATGGTGCTCCATGCAGTCATGCTGGCCACATGACCTTAAAGGTGTTTATGGACAACGCCGGTTCTTTGGCACCACCTCCCATAGTCGGATACGACTAGACTTAATGTCAGGGGAAACCTTACCTTAATATACTAATATTAAAACAGCATTAAACATAACTGGTATTACAGACAATTAAGTTAAATCCATACAATCATTTTAAAAAACACAGTGTAGACCGTGTTAACTACTTCCCTTTAAAAGCTTTATTTCAGAATGGCTTAGCTGTATTGATTTAATGAGTGGCCTTAGCTGCTTTGGATCCCATTTGGGAAGAAAGTAATAAATCCATAAGGTTTTGTTGGGAGCCATTATGCAGGGGAATGCGAGGCAAAATCCCAAAACAGAAGCCAATTTGTTTTATTTCCTACCCTCCAGCATTGCAGTCTACACTGCTGGACAGCCATGAAAGTGTCCCTCCAACTCTGGAAGTGTCGGCCATTAAAGGTAAGACTTTGATAAGAGGGCTTCTTTTTGCAGGATGAGGATCTTGATGATGATGATCTTTATTATTTATCTTTTGGGTAAAATGCCAGCCACAGAGGCCAGTAAGAAGCAAACCCCCACCAAGAAGAAACAACCCTCCAACAAGAAAAAGCAACCCTTGGTGAGCGAAGCCACATTTCTGTGTCTTAAATGGCCATTAACAATATTTGGAATAATGTTTAGCCCTCTCACCATAGAATTGTGCTGGCAGATCTACAAATGCGAATTGAGGGTACAGTTGTGATGTATTGAAAAATACAAAGAAAGTAAGAAACTTGGCATTATACTCAATGTCCTTTGACCAGAAGCAGCCACTTCAAGTGCCTCTGGTGTTGCTATAAGAAAGTCCTCCATTGTGCATGTGACAAGGCTCAGACTGCATTGTATTGGTGGTCTGTGGTTTGCTGTCCTCCACACTCGCACATTGTGAACTCCACTTTTTAGCCCTGATTTTTAAGGTTGGCTCTGTGCCTGTTCAGCGCCTTCCAATTCACCCAGTCTTCTGTGTGCCATCAACACAACGTAGATATAACATACCTCCTTTCTGTTCTGTCTGTCTCTGTCCTGTCTGTCCGAAACAGCATTGAATGTTTGCCGTGTATGTATATTGTCATCTGCCCTGAGTCCCCCTGGGGAGATAGGGTGGAATATAAATAAAGTGCTATTATTATTATTAATGGTCATGATGACACATTATTATTATTATTATTATTATTATTATTATTATTATTATTATTGACACAAAAGCACAGTATGTCACAGCAAACGAGATCTATATGCTGGATTTCGTATCAAAATCACAAGTCGAACACTTCCCAAGCGTCTAGGACTGTGTGATGTATTTTGGAATGATGCGTGCAGATCCAAGTAACATGGCCTTTTGCAGTTGACAGATTGTGATTTTGTCGATGTTTATAGTTTCCAAATGCCGGCTGAGATCTTTTGGCGCATCACCCAGTGTGCCGATGACCACTGGGACCACCTGTACTGGTTTATGCCAGAGCCTTTGCAGTTCGATTTTGAGGTCTTGATAGTGGCTGAGTTTTTCCTGTTGTTTTTCCTCAGTGCGACTGTCACCTGGTATGGCGACATCAATAATCCAAACTTTTTTCTTTTCCACAATCGTGATGTCTGACGTGTTGCGTTCCAAAACTTTGTCAGTCTGGATTTGAAAGTCCCGCAGTATTTTGCATGTTCATTTTCCACGACCCACCAATTCTTTGCTGCTGGCAGGTGGTACTTGTGACATAAGTTCCAGTGAATCATTTGGGCCACAGAGTTGTGTCTTTCTTTGTAGTCTGTCTGTGCGATTTTCTTGCAACAGCTGAGGATATGGTCCATAGTTTCATCAGCTTCCTTGCACAGTCTGTATTTTGGGTCATCAGCTGATTTTTCAATCCTGGCCTTAATTGCATTGGTTCTGATGGCTTTCTCCTGGGCTGCAAGAATCAGGCCTTCTGTCTCCTTCTTCAAGGTTCCATTCGTGAGCCATTACCAGGTCTTCTCTTTATCAACTTTTCCTTCAATTTTGTCAAGGAACTGTCCATGCAATGTTTTGTTGTGTCAGCTGTCAGCTCTGGTTTGGAGTGCAGTTTTCTTGTACTGACTCTTTGTTTGCTGCGTTTTGAGAAGTTTCCGATTATTGAGTTCAATTAAAGCAGGTTCTTGGCTTTCCTTGACATGTACTGCCAGGGCGTGTTTTTTTTTTCTTCGACTGCTTGTTTTACTTGTAAAAGTGCCACCAGACTTTCTAGGCAGATAGAGCCGGTCAACATCACTGCGAGGATGTAATAAATTATGAATGGTCATGAGTTTTCTAGTTTTTCTGTCCAAATTGTCCAGTTCTGCCTGTGTCCAGTTTATGATGCCAGCAGTATATCTTATGACAGGTATGGCCCAGGTGTTCATGGCCTTGATGGTATTGCCTACATTGAGCTTGCTTTTGAGAACACTGGCCCTTTGAATATATTCTTTGCTGAACACGGTTTTCACATGTTCATGTTTGATGTTGTCCAGCTGTAGTATGCCCAGATATTTATAGGCCTCTGGCTGGTGACACTTTATTGCTTGGTCATTGGGCATATTTATGCCCTCACTTTCAATGATTTTTCCCTTCTTCAGTGCCACTGTCAAACATTTGTCCAAACCAAACTCCATGTTGATATCCGTGCTAAAGATTTGGACAGTGTTAGTCAGAGACTGAATTTCAGTTTCAGTTTTCCCATACAGCTTCAGGTCATCCATGTACAGCAGATGTGGAATTTTGTGAGATCTCTGAGACGTTTGATAGCTGAGGTTTGTTTTTTGTAAGATTGTTGACAAAGGGATCATGGCAATGATGAAAAGCAGTGGGGTCAATGAGTCTCCCTGGAAAATTCCTCTTTTGATGTTGACAAGTCCATAGTTTTCATTTCCAACAAACAGTTCAGTTTTCCAGTTCTTCATCATATTTTCAATAAAAGTGCCAACATTTTTACAAATCCCAATGGTGTCTAGGCACTTGATGATCCAACTGTGTGGGAGTGAGTCAAAGGCTTTTTTGTAATCAATCCATGTCATGTGAAGATTGGTTTTTCGGCTTTTGCAGTTCTCCAGAATCATTTTGTCAATTAATAACTGGTCTTTGCCCCTGCTTTTTCGTTTGTTGCCTTTCTGTTCATTTGGCAAGATATTATTTTCTTCAAGATAATCTTGAATTCTGACAGCTATGGTGCCGGTCAATAGTTTAAACATATTGGGCAGACATGTTATTGGCCTGTAATTTCCTGGTGCTGCTCCTTTTGCTGGATCCTTTTGTATCATATATGTTCTCCCAGTTGTTAACCATTCACTGATACTTCCTTTTTGCAGCATCTCATTGAATTGTTGGGCCATTTTCCATGTAGGCCATATTAACCAAAATCCATGCAGTTGATCACCAGGCGATGTCCAGTTCTTGACTTTTTTCACTCGTTTGCTGATAATTTCAGTTGCTATTTCCATCTGTTCCATTTTGTTCTGTGAGAATTTTTCTTCAAACTCCTTTATCCACCCAGCTTTTTTGTTGTAGTTATTATTTTTTCAGAGTCCTTTCCAAAACTTAGTTGTTGCAGTTTTCTCAGGCTTTATAACTACTGTGTCTGTTGTTTGGTTCAGACTCTGGTAGAACCATCTTTGATCTGATTGAAACAGTTGATTTTGTCTGTACTGGATAATTCTGGCGTCATATCTTTCAATTTTTCTGGCTGTTGCTGTAATTTGTTCTTTCACAATTTCTAAAGCTGCTTCAATTTTTTCTGGTGTTTAGCCAGTACTTTCTGATCAGATATTGCTTGATTTGTCATTCTTCACTTTCTTCTCCTTCATATTTTTCAGGTTACTTCCATCTGATCGTAGATTTTTGATTTTCAATTCCAACCTGACCTTCCATTTTGGTTTTCCAGTCGATTTTCTCGGAGGCTGCATTGGTTGTAGGAACCCAAGCTCTTCTGTTACTATCACTGCTGTACTGTAGGCAAACTGGTTTGATTGTTCAATTGATGTTATTTGAACAGTAGAAACTAATGTATTCACATCCTTCATGAGAGGTGCAAGTTGTCTCTTAGGCACTGTTTTTAAAGTTAGAAGTTGCTTTCTTATTGCATTTGATACAGCATGGGCCATGATTTTATCATTGAGCTCTTGTCTTGCTGTTAATCTTCCTGGTAGTTCAACAAGTGCTTCAGATGCCAGTTCTTCAAATTCTTGCAAAAGCTCCACATTTTCTTCTGGTTCAGTCTGTTCCAGAGTTCCAAGTGTTGCTGGAGTCTCTGCTACTGTCTGTGCTGTGACCTGATGGTCATTTGCTTTGCAGATTTTCTTCGAGTCCAACTTCATTGAACACTTGGTTTCTGATTATGAATCTTCGTTGATCAGCCAGTCGGGTTTCAGTTATCTGTGAGTCAGGGTACTCTTGTTTCCACAATTGATACATCCTTTTTTTGTAGCCACGCTTTTGAGGTTCTGATTTGTAATAGCATTTCATAACTCTGCGGTTTTCTGGCATTGTATATTTCTGCCACTTCTGTGATTGTTCATTTGTATTTTGATTCGGTAGCCCACTTGTTGATGGATGTCCAGAATCAGCAGCATCCACCGCGGTCCTTTTTATCCTGGGCATTGACCGAGCCAGTATCGATTTCGTTTTGGTTTGCTGCTCCATAATGCTAATGGGTTAGGTGCTCTTGGTTCCACTCCTCAGCTGAAACCTCTCTGGCTTGGTTGGACCTGCTGGTAGTTACACTACCGCCAGCACAGCTCTCAGCATCCTTGGAACAGTTAAGCCCCCCATCACGACAAGGTGGCATCCATCGGGGGGATTATTATTATTATTAACAGCTGCCAATCTTCCCAATAGTGATAGCTGTAGTTTTGACCATTCTTTTATCTTTTTTGTTTGGGTAAAAATAATAAATTATATTAATAAAGGTCCTGTGCAATGGCACATAAATTCAGAAGGGCATCTCTTATTCTTTTTGTTCAGGTCGAGACCTTGATTCAGATCCAGGATTTTCAATCGCTGCTCTTGACCTTTGCGGCTGTTCAGGTATAAAAGGTCTGGTGGTTCTTTTTTCTTAAAGAAATGGAGTCTGTTTGGGGTTGTTTCTGAGCTCTGTCATCCTCGAATCTTGTGTGGCAACAGATAGAGAAGAACCTGGCCCTTTTGGAGCATGAAGGCGAGGGGAAACTGGCCATCCTCTTGGAGGGGAGAGACCAGCTCCAGAGAGAAGCCATGCACAAGGGAGGCTTGTTAGCGGAGAGGCAGAGACGGAGGCAGCTCAGCAACGCCTTGGATGCACAGGTAGGGGATTGGAGGCCAGATCCTGGCTTAGACATCTACCGAAGCCTGGGCTTGGCCTTTTGTGGGAATAGACATGAGAAGAAGGCCTGGTTTGCTTTTGTGTTTGGTGAGCGGACCCATGAGGAAATGCATAGTCATGTTGGTGGACTACAGCTCCCATCACCCTCTGTCATTGCTCCTCCAATCCTTTCTGTTGGTTATGATGGGCCTGAGTGCCAAGTTACATCCCGATCCATCATCGGTGGGGTTCCGAATGATCGTGCTGGATTACAGCTCCCATCACCCTTTGTCATTGCCCCTCCAGTTCTTTCTGTTGATCATGATGGCTCTGGGTGCCAAATTGGGACTCGATCCATCGTTGATAGAGTTCAGTGATTGTGGATGGAGGATGGACTAAAGTTCTCATACTCCTCTGTCATTGTCCCTCAAGTTGGCCATTATGGGTTTGACTGCCAAGTTGGGTCCTGATCGATCATTGATGGAGTTCAGACTAATTGTGATTGGACTACACCTCCCATTATCCTCTGTCATTGCCCCTCTCAAACCCCTCCAGTCCTTTTTATTGGTCATGATGGGTCTGAGTGCCAAGTTGGGCCCCAGTCCATCATTGGTGAGGTTCAGAGTGATTGTAGGTGGACTACAGCTCCCATCACGCACTGTCATTATCCCTTCCAAAACTCTCCAGTCCTTCCTGTTGGTCGTGATGGGTCTGAGTGCCAAGTTGGGCCCCGATCCATCGTCAGTGGAGTACAGAGTGATTGTGGGTGGGCTACAACTCTCATCATACTCTGTCATTGCCCCCTAAAACCCTGATTGGATCCTGATCCATCCTGATCCATCAGAAGTCACAGGGCTACTCTGGAAGTGGGAACCATCTTAGAAATGGCATACAAATATAGATGCATATGTCATACATCCATATAAACGTAATTTTGCTTTTTTGATGTATTTTTGTTATTTATTACATATTTTTTATCGATAATATACATAATAGATTATATTGATATATAAACAGAAAAATATAGCAGGTGGCAGATAGGTAGTTATAGATAATAGATGTATAGATGATAATTGTGATAATGACAAATAATAATATTTTATTTATTACCTAACTCATTACGGTTTGAGACTGGGCACAACACTGTTAAATACATTTGTAAACTCGCATATTAAAACATAGTTGAAATGCAACTATAAAGGATCATATTGAAACATCTTCATATCCCTGATGAACATATAATCTGATGATTTAAAAGCCATAGGGTTGCTGTGCGTTTTCCGGGCTGTCTGCCCATGTTCCAGAAGCATCCTCTCATGACGTTACCCACATCTATGGCAGGCATCCTCAGAGGTGGAGGGGTCTGTTAGAAAACTATGCAAGTGGGTTTTATATATCTGTTGAGTGATGTCCAGGGCGGGAGGAAGAACTCTTGTCTGTTTGAGGCCAGTGTGAATGTTGCAACTGGCCACCTGGATTAGTATTTCATGGCCTTGCTGCTTCAAAGCCTGGCTGCTTCAAAGGGAATACTTCGTTGGAAGGTGTTAACTGGTCCTGATTGATTCATGTCTGGAATTCCCCTGCTTTTTGAGTGTTTGGGTGTCTTTGTTTACTGTCTTGATTTTAGAGTTTTTTTAATACTGCTATTCAGATTTTGTTCATTTCCATGGTTTCCTCCTTTCTGTTGAAATTGTCCACATGCTTGTGGATTTCAATGGCTTCTCTGTGTCGTCTGACATGGTGGTTGTGAGAGTGGTCCAGCACTTGTGTGTTCTCCAATAATATCCTGCGTCCAGGTTGGTTCATCAGGTGCTCTACTATGGCTGACTTCTCTGGTTGAATTAGTCTGCAGTGCCTTTCATGTTCCTTGATTCGTGTTTGAGCAATGCTGCTGCGTTTGGGGGTCCCTCTGTAGACTTGTCCACAGCTGCATGGTATACGGTAGACTCCTGGCAGAGGTGAGGGGATCTCTCTTGTCCTTTGCTGAATGTAGCATTTGTTGGATTTTCTTAGTGGGTTTGTAGATCGTTTGTAGATTGTGTTTTTTCATCAGTTTCCCTACGCGGTCAGTGGGTCCCTTGATGTATAGTAAGAACACTTTTCCTCTGGGTGGATTTTTGTCTTTCCTCTCATGGCTTATTCTTGGCCTTGCAGCTCTTCTGATGTCTGAGGTGGAGTCTTCATTGGCTTGTAGAGCCCAGTTTGGGTGGTTCAGTTCACCTTGGAGGAGGTGGGCTTCACGGATTATTTTTGCACACACAAAAAGCCATAGTTTTTTGTGTTTTTTTTTTTTTTGTCGTGTCAGGAGCGACTTGAGAAACTGCAAGTCGCTTCTGGTGTGAGAGAATTGGCCGTCTGCAAGGACGTTTGCCAGGGGACGCCCGGATGTTTTGATGTTTTATCATCCTTGTGGGAGGCTTCTCTCATGTCCCTGCATGAGGAGCTGGAGCTGATAGAGGGAGCTCATCTGCGCTCTCCTCGGATTCGAACCTGCGACCTGTCGGTCTTCAGTCCTGCTGGAACAGGGGTTTAACCCACTGTGCCACCGGGGGCTCCGTTTTTTGTGTGTGCAATTCTGGCTTTCTCTTCCAGCTGGAAGCCCTGGGATCCATGGAGGAGCAAGGCAACCGCTTCCAGCAGGAATACCAGGCTTTTGCCACTGCCCTGGATGCCACACGTCATGCATTGCCCGTGAAGGAGATCTACGTGCCAGAGGACATGGGGCGATACCTAGGTATGGAGAGGGCAGCTCCTTCCCCTTCTCCTCCTGCAATTTTGGGAGACAGTCCTTGGCCAACGGCTGCCTCTTCCTTCACACAGCTGATCTGGAAACAGCCCTTTTGGAAAACAAACAACTTTTGGCTGAAGCCCTCAAGGAGCCCAGCAAGACCAATGCCAATGTCCGGAGGCCAGCCCAGGAATTGCAGCAGGCAGCCCGGGAAGTGGCTCAAGAGCTGCCCAGGTATTTCCCAAAGCAAAGGAAGGGAGGGAAGGAAAGGGGGCCTTCCTATCTGTCTGTATCTCACTTTTCCCCACCATTCCCTTTCTTTCTCTCACTTTTTCCTACCTTTCTGTCTTTCTCTTCTTCCTTCTTCTCTTCTTCCTGACTCTCTCTATCTCTCTCTTCCTTCTACCTTCCTTCACGTTTTCCAACCTTTCGCCTTCTCTTCTTCATGCCCTCCTCTTTTTCTCTCCCATCGTTCTATTTATCTACCTTCCTTCTTTCCTCCTTCTCGTATTCCTCCTTTTTCCTCTTATTTCTTTCCTTCTCCTTTTCTTTCTTCTTCCTACTTTCTTCCTTCTACCTGTCTACTTGTTTCCCTCTTTTTCCTACCTTCCTCTTTCTTCTTCCTACCTTCCTTCTCTTTTTCCTTTCTCTCTCTTACTCCTGCCTTCCTTCCTTCTCTTCTTCTCTTTTCTCTTCTTCTCTATCTCCTTTCCCTCTTTCTCTCTTTTGCCTAACTTTCTCCTTCTTTTCATTCTCTCTCCTTCCTACCTTCCCCTCTTTCTTCTTCCTCCTTTCTTCCTTCTCTTTGTCCTGCCTCTCTCTTTCTCTCTCTTTTTCCTACCTTCCTGTCTTCACTTCTTCTAACCTTTCTCCTTCTCTCCTTCCTGCTTTTCTCTTTTTCAATCTCATTTTTCTACCTGCCTTTTTCTAAACTTCTGCTATTCATCCTCCTCTTCTTCTTTCTTGGCCTTCTTCCTACCTTTCTCCTCCTTTTCTTTCTCCCTACTTCCTTCCTTCTCTTCTACCTGTCTACCTCTTTCTCAGTTTTTCCTACCTTCCTCTCTTCCTCCTACCTTCCTTCTTCTCTTCTTACTGCCTCTCTCTTACTCTCTCTTCTTCTTCCTGACTTCCTCCTTTTCTCTCTTATCTTTCTGCCTTCTTTCTTTACTTCTCCTAACCTTCCTTTTTCTCTTCTTCCTCCTTCTCTTCTTCTCTTTCTTCTTCCAATCTTTTCTTCTACCTACCTCTTTCTCTCACTTTTTCCTACCTTCCTCTCTTCCTCCTACATTCTCTTCTTATTGCCTCTTTCTCTTTTTCCCTCTCTTCCTTCCTTCCTTTATTGACTTTTTCTGACCATCTTTTTCCTTCCTCTTTCTCTCCTTTCTACCTTCTTCTCTTTCTCTATTGTTGGTGTGCTTCATCTACAGAAACCACTGCCCAGAGTTGTGTGGCATTAGCCCAGGCCTCACATTCCTGCTCTGGGAGGGGTTGGACTGGATGCCCTGGGGGTGGGGTGGTCTCTCTCTTGCTGAGATGTTGTTGAACCAAAGGGGCCCCATAAGCGTCATGAAGCCCAACCCCTGGGACCCCAATGAAAGCCTGCCTCCCCCTCTTTCATTTCTCCCCTTCCTTTCTTCTTTTTCCTCTTCAGGGCCTTTTCAGAGGTGGTTGAGCTCTCTGCAGATGTCAGCAAGGAGGTCTCCCTGGTGGCCCAGATGGCTGGGGAGGAGGCCATGGGCCTGGAGGTGGCGAAGCTGCTCTATTTTGGCTAGGCTTTCCATGGGATATGGCTCTTCCACAGTCACAATTGCACTTTCCATAAGTCAGAATTGCACTTCTTTGTATAACAACATGTTTGTATTTTCTCATCTCATGCCTTGGCTGCTTTCTTTGGGAAATTGGGGGGGGGGGGGGCAGGGAAGAGACCCCTAAGCCTCATGTTTATTGAACAAGTGATGGGCCATCTGTCAGGGGTGCTTTGATTGTGTTTTTCCTGAATGGCACATGGCTAGACTAGATGGCCCATGTGGTTGTTGGACGAGTGGGCTTAATAAAAAACATCCTCCTCATAAATGCACAGCAGAATAACTTATCAACAACGGTGTGACCCAGCACCAGTAGACCAAAGTGATAAATAGAAGAAAAACACACAGACTAATGTCATCTTTTCCATAGGAGACTTTCTTTGTAGTAAAATGATACAGCTGCACTATCTACAACAAAAAGGTTTTTATAACACAAATAAACAAATACACCTTATATTTACAAACAGCAGTCTTTGTACTGGAGCTTTACACATGAGGCTTTACGCACAAGGCCTTCAAACTAGAGATACTCTCACCAAAGCTTCTCACACTGAAGTTTCCCTCACTCTCCTCAGGACGACACTACTTTCAGCCCACTGACTCTAGCAGGCTTTGGCCTACTCACACTCCTCAGGACGACAATAGTTTTGGACCACTGACTAACAGGCTTCGGCCTACTCACTCTCCTCAGGACGGCACTAGCGTTGGATCACTGACTAACAGGCTTTGGCCTACTCACTCTCCTCAGGACGACAATAGTTTTGGACCGTTGACTAACAGGCTTCGGCCTACTCACTCTCCTCAGGATGGCACTAGCGTTGGACCACTGACTAACAGGCTTCGGCCTACTCACTCTCCTCAGGACGGCACTAGCGTTGGACCACTGACTAACAGGCTTTGGCCTACTCACTCTCCTCAGGATTACACTAGTTTTGGACCACTGACTAACAGGCTTCGGCCTACTCACTCTCCTCAGGACGACACTAGCATTGGATCACTGACTAACAGGCTTTGGCCTACTCACTATTTCAGTACTTTACTCACACTTTTATAATAAAAAATACCCAGTTAATCTTTAATATTTCTGGCAGTGGTGTCTTCCAACTCTTATTATTCTATGACAGATGGTTGTCCAGTCTCTGTTTATTGAATGAGTGAATCCAAAAGTTTGAAGGCATCCCCCAGCAGGAAGATTAGATGCTCCATTAATATCCCAGTCTCCAGAGCAGCAGGAAAGAAGGGCGGCTTAAGAACAGGAAATATGGAGGAAGGGGGCAATGGTTTTTTGTATTTATAAAAAGACCTCTATGCCAACACTGTACACTATAGACCTTTCGTCCCATAATATATCTATTAACTAAGGACTGAAAGTGTAGAAATACATGTAAAATACTATAGATGTGTGTATGTATAATATGTAGTTAGTATAGGTCTGAATAGAGGTCTGAGATATAATAGTATCTCAAACTTTTAGTCCCAAAATATATCTATTCATCTGAAGGTATAGAAATATATGCAATATATACATACTATATATATAAGGTAAAGGTAAAGGTAGTCCCCTGACATTAAGTCCAGTCATGTCTGACTCTGGGGTGTGGTGCTCATCTCCATTTCTAAGCCGAGGAGCCAGTGTTGTCTGTAGACACCTCCAAGGTCATGTGGCCGGCATGACTGCATGGAGCGCCGTTACCTTCCCGCCGGAGCGGTACCTATTGATCTACTCACATTTGCATGTTTTCGAACTGCTAGGTTGGCAGAAGCTAGGGCTGACAGCGGAAGCTCACGCCACTCCCTGGAATCGAACCTGCGACCTTTCGATCACCAAGCTCAGCAGCTCAGTGCTTTAACCCACTGCGCCACCGGGGGCTCCTAATATATATATATATATATGTGTGTGTGTGTGTGTATATATATATGTGTGTGTGTGTGTGTGTGTGTGTGTATATATATATATATATATATATATATATATATATATATATATATATATATAGTATATACTTTTATTCCCATACTATATCTGCTTATCTAAGCACTGAAAGAGTAGATCTGTCCAGATAATAAATGTGAAAATGTGTATGTGGCTGGGGTGCCTACTTTCACAGATAGGACCCCACTTACAAAAACAACTATGATCCCCACCAATGAGGAGCCACCAATGACCATCCTTCCAATGACATTGCAGGTTATAGCGAGCGTTGTGAACATATACGACCGCTGCCAGTGCCCTCCACAAGCACCATACTGTCCACCACCCAATTGTCATTCGGGGACAATTTAATCCTAGATTTTCTGTGTTTCCTCCACCACAAACACCTCAGTGTGCCTTACTCTCCATTGGTGTGGAATTTGCATGATTCTAACCACTGCCTCTCCCTTAAATCTTTCCTACCCTTTGTCAAACAAATTGGTCAGTACATTGTCATTCTAAATTGCTGCCTCTACTGTTTGAATGCTTGGTCCCATAACCAGGTTTTGAGTTTCATTCTAGAGGACAAGAGGGAGGAGGCCAATCTAATGTCATTGGGTAGAGAGTTCCACAGGTTTTTGGTCGTGTCAGGAGCTCAAGTGTCTTCTGTTGTGAGAGAATTGGCCATCTGCAAGGACGTTGCCCAAGGGACGCCCGGATTATTTGATGTTTTATCATCCTTGTGGGAGGCTTCTCTCATGTCCCTGCATGAGGAGCTGGAGCTGATAGAGGGAGCTCATCCACCTCTCCCCGGATTCGAACCTGCGACCTGTCAGTCTTCAGTCCTGCCGGCACAGGGGTTTAACCCACTGCGCCACCAGGGGTGATGGGCCATCACTGAGAAGGCCCTGTTTCTCGTCTCCACCGATCGCGCTTGCGAGGATGGTGGGACCGAGAGCAGGGCCTCTCCTGTCGATCTTAGACTTTGTGATGGTTCATAGCAGGAGATACATTCAGACAGGTAAGCTGGCCCATAACGGTTCGGGGCTTTATGGGCTAAAGCCAGCACTTTGAATTGTGCTCGGAAGCAGATTGACAACCAGTGGAGCTGGTGTAGCAGCGGAGTTGTATGCTCTCTGTATGCTGCTCTGATGAGCAACCTGGCTGCTGTCCATTGGACTAGTTGGAGCTTCTGAGCAGTCTTCAAAGGCAACCCCATGTAGAGTGCATTGTAGTAATCTATTTGGGATGTAACGAGAGCGTGGACCACCATGGCCAAGTCTGACTTCTCAACTGCTTTAAATTGTGCAATTGTGCAACAAGTTTTAATTGTGCAAAAGCTCCCCTAGCCACTGCCAAGACCTGGGATTCCAGGCTCAGCAATGAGTCCAGGATCACTCCCAAGCTGCAAACCTGTGTCCTTCAGGTGGAGTGTGACCCTGTCCAGCACAGGCTGTAACCCTATGCCTTGTTTGGTCTTACGACTGACCAGGAGGACCTCTGCCTTGTCTGGATTCAATTTTAATTTGTTTGCTCTCATCCAGACCATCACAGCTGCTAAGCACCGGTTCAGGACCTGTACAGCCTCCTTAGTAACAGGTGAGAAGGAGTGACAGTTGAACATCATCTGCATACAAATGACATCTCACTCCAAAACTCCGGATGATCTATCCCAGTGGCTTCATGTAAATGTTAAACAACATAGGACACAATACTGATCCCTGCGGAAATCCACAAGTCAATATTTGGAAACTAAAATTATATAGTGCGTGTGTGCGCGTGGATAGATAGATAGATAGATAGATAGATAGATAGATAGACTCTACTAGCCATCCCCTGCCATGCATTGATGTGACCCAGTCTGGTGATATGGAAAATAAAGTAATGAGAAAGTGTTGGTTTCTAATATATGTAATTTCTTTCTGTTTGTGGGTAAACAGTATTTCTTGTTTCTTTGTCAGTGTTGATGTAGGGATTGTCTGGTTTGCCTACTCTGGAACATGCAACATATAATTGTCCTTCTTTAGGGGTCCCTTTGAAATCCATTATATTATATCTGTCACATACATATATATGTATGTGAATTATATCTATATTTATGGCTCTTTGTCAGGAGGGTTTTGATCATGTTTTCTTTTTGCCTTGGGAGTCCAAGGGAGTTGGACTGGATGGCCTTAAGGCAGCATTTCTCAACCTGGGGGTTAGGACCCCTGTGGGGGTCGTGAGGGGGTGTTTGAAGGGTCGCCAAAGACAAGAAAACACAGTATTTTCTGTTGGTCATGGGGGTTCTGTGTGGGAAATTTTCCCCAATTCTGTCATTTCTGGGCTTCAGAATGCTCTTTGATTGTTGGTGAACTATAAATCTAAGTAACTTCAACTCCCAAATGTCAAGGTCTATTTCCCCCAAAATCCAGCAGTGTCCATATTTGGGCATTTTGAGTATCAGTGCCAAGTTTGGTCCGGATCTATCATTGTTTGAGTCCACAGTGCTCTCTGGATGTAGGTGAACTACAACTCCCAAACTCAAGGTCAATGCCCACCAAACCCTTCTAGTGTGTTCTGTTGGTCATGGGAGTCCTGTGTGCCAAATTATTTCATTGGTGGAGTTCAGAATGCTTTTTGATTGTAAATAAACTAGAAATCTCAACAACTACAACTCCCAAATGACAAAATCAACTTTTTAGTGATGGTCACTCCTTGGGTCAGTAGGTGTCTTGTGGCCAAATTTGGCGGCGATTTGTCCAGTGGTTTTTGATTTATGTTAATCCCACAAACAAACTACATTTTTATTTATATAGAAGATTAGAAATCCCAACAACTACAACTTCCAAATGACAATATCATTTTTTTTGAGGGATGGTCATTCCTTGGGTTGGTAGGTGTCTTGTGGCCAAATTTGGTGTCAATTCATCCAGTGGTTTTTGAGTTATGTTAATCCCACAAACAAACATTACATTTTTATTTATATAGAAGAAAGATATAGACAGAAGATAAAGTTCTGTTATCCGATCGGAGGCCACAAGGTGGCGCTAGAAAGGAGAATCCATTCATTAATCCAAAGACTGAGGAGATATATATATATATGAGTGTGTGTGTAGCAGAGGAAGAAAGCGCCTTTCCAGAAGGTGGCGTCAGTGCGCATGCGCGGGCGGGCCGCTTGCCTCTGGTTTTCCTCACCCCTTCCCCTCCCTGCTCACGCGCATGCGCCTTTCCCCTCTCTCTCCACTCCTTCCCCCTGCCGGGCTCGAGCCGCTCCCTCCTTCCTGCCCGGCCGGAAGTGGCCGGCCTTCTTTGCCTCAGTCGGGGGAAGGAGGCGGGAAGGGAGGACGCCGACTGGTGTGTCTCCGCGGAGCAGGGAGGGAAGCCTGGTTCAGCGAGAGGATGGGCCCGGTTTCGTGTGACGCCTTCCCCTGAGGTAATGCTCGAGGAGAAAGGGGGCTGCAGGGGCATAGGATGCTCGTGGAGGAAAGGGTCCCAAGAGGAAATCCAGTCCAACCCTCTTCTGCCATTAAGGAAAGGACACCATCCGATCCTTCTCGACAGATGGCCACCCAGCCCCATAGACATTAGAAGGTTCATGGAGAAATGAAAATCTCGAATCATAGGATTGAAAGACCCAAAGGCCAACCCCGTTCTGCCAAGACACCATCCGATCCCTCCCGACAGATAGCCATCCAGCCCCATTGACATTCATGAGGAAATGGAAATACAGGATCATGGGATTGAAAGAGACCCAAAGGCCATTCTGCCATTACACCATTCAATCCCTCCCATCAGATCGCCATCCAGCCTCATAGGCCTTCATGGAGAACTGGAAATATGGGATCATAGGATTGAAAGGGACCCCAAAGGGCATCCAGTCTAACCCGAAATAGAAATGTAGACTCATAGGACTGAAAGAGACCCAAAGTCCAATCTGCCATTAGACCATCCGATCCCTCCCAACAGATAGCCGTCCAGCCCCATAGACATTCATGGAGAAATGGAAATGTAGGATCATAGGACTGAAAGGGTCACCCAGTTCACCCCATTTTGCCTTTAAGGAAAGGACACAATCTGATCCCTCCTGACAGATGGCCATTCAGTCCCATAGACATTAGAAGGTTCATGGAGAAATGGAAATATGGAATCATAGGATTGAAAGGGACCCGAAGGCCATTCTGCCAAGACACCGTTCGATCCCTCCCGACAGATCCAGCCCCATAAGACATTCATGGAGAAATGGAAATGTAGGAGCAGAGGATTGACAGAGACCCAAAAAGCATCCAGTCCAACCCATTCTTCCATTAAGGAATGGACACAGTCCAATCCCTCCCAATAGACGGCCATCCAGCCCCATAGACATCCATGGAGAAATGGAAATACAGGATCAAAGAAGTGAGAGAGACCCCAAAGGGCAGCCAGTGCAACCCCATTCTCCCATTAAGGAATGGACTCAATCCAATCCCTCCCGACTGAAGACCATCCAGCCCCATAGAAATTCATGGGGAAATGGAAATGTAGGTTCATATGATTGTCAAAGCCCTAGAGAGCATCCAGTTTAACCCATTCTGCCATTAAGGAAAGTACACAATCTGATCTCTTCTGACAGTTGGCCATCCAGCCCCATAGACATTCATGGAGAAATGGAAATACAGAATAATGAGCTTTAAAGAGCCAAGGAGCACCTAGTCCAACCCATTCTTCCATTAAGGAAAGGACACATTCTGATCCCTCCCATCCAGCCTCATAGACATTAAAGTTCATGGAGAAATGGAAATATAGAATTGTGGGATTGAAAGAGACCCAAAGACACCACCCAATCCCTCCCGACAGATTACCACTCATCCACCCATCTTGTGGCTTAAAAGCCTCCAGACAGGGACCATGAAATGGTCTTAATTGTACTGTGTAGAGAAGCACCCTATGTTTACATGCGAGAAACCATACCGTACCTTTGGTGTGTATTTTGCATCAAAAATTACATCCTGTATGAAACAGAACTTTTCCCAACATTACAGGCTTTTCAGCCGTGCATCATTTTGTGACATGTTCATTCGGTTTTGTGAACAAACCAAAGCTTAAACCAAACACGTGTAAGAGATACGAATGTTTGTATAGATGGTAAATGACAAAATGTATGGAGACACAATACGTCCCGTTTATATTTTTCAAAAATACAGGCTCTATAGCTTATTTCAAACTATGGAAAGCTCAGATTGGAGAGATTTATTGAAAGGATGGCAAAATATTGACAGCATTTTAATCTGCATTTCATCTGTGAATTTTAACTTGTATTTTCACTCTGTATCTTGCTTTGCGTTTTCAACAAAGTTTTTGCAACTTTCCCCATGTTTTTATGGTAGAACCAATGAGGAAATGACATTTATAACCCAGGAACAAATAACCGTGTTACATAGTAATGGGAGGATTTGATTGGAAAGGCACAATATCTTGAATGATCTCCACATTTTCCCTTCCAAATTTAATTTGTTCTTAATTTCATATTGTGTAGGTGACAGTTTACTATGTTACATTGTCATCTTTTCTTCTTATTTTTGAACATTATGCAGACTTTATGTGTGAATGTATACATATTTATATATATACTATCTTGGATACCCGGCGTTGCTTAGGTTATTTGAAAAAGTCAATTTTCTAATTGTACAAAATGCATAAGGTTGTGGGTGAGCTACAACTCACGACATGCCAGGTTAACCCTGAGAGTCTCTATCAGTACTTAAAAGTTTTGTTGGGCAAGTTTGTTCTAGATGCATCCTCGGTCGGGTTCAGTGTGCTGTAGCGTAAACTACAACTCCCACTATGGTAAGTCAGTCCCCTCAAAGCCCTCCAGTAGGTTGAGTTAGTCATGGGGGTTCTGTGTTCCAAGTATGGTTCAGGTCCATCATCAGTGGAGGTCACAGTGTCTCTGGACGTAGGTGAACTACAACTCCCAGAAAAGAAGGTCAGTTCCCCGCAAACCCCTCCAGCAGATTGAGTTAGTCATGGGGTGTTCTGTGTTCCAAGTATGGTTCAGGTCCATCATCAGTGGAGGTCATAGTGTCTCTGGACGTAGGTGAACTACAACTCCAAGAAAAGAAGGTCAGTTCCCCTCAAACCCCTCCAGCAAATTGAGTTAGTCATGGGGGTTCTGTGTGCCAAGTTTGGTCCAGGTCCATCGTCCGTGGGGCTCACAGTTTCTTTGGTTGTGGGTGAACTATAACTCCCAGAAAGGAAGGTCAGTTCCCCTCCCCCACCCCTCCAGTAATCAAATTTTGACATATCATCGGTGTTTGGGTTCACAGTGCTCTCTGTATGGAGTTGAACTACACCTCCCCTAAATCAAGGTGAATTTTCCCCAAAGACCTCCAGTATTTTTTGCTGGTCATGGGGTGCTGGTCAAGTTTAGTCCAATTACATTGGAGTGCTCACTGATTGCAGATGAACTATACATCCCAGTGTCTTCAACTCCAAAATGTCCAGGCCAGTGGCGGGTCATGTAAATTCCACACCAATGGAGAGAGAAGGAAACAGTGGGATGACTGTGGTGGAGGAAACACATGAAATCTAGGATGGAATTGTTCCCATATGATGGGCAGTGTGGGCAGTGTGGTGTTTGTGGAGGACATTGGCAGGGCTCTTGGACATGCTCACGGCACTCACTATAACCTGCAATGTCATTGGAGGGAGGGCCTTTGGTGTCTCCTGCGTTGTGGGAGCTATAGCTATTTGTGGAAGTGAGAGCCTGCCCCAGCCTTATTGATGCTTCAATATCTTGTTTGTCTAATGATCTGCCTGGTAATTAGCTCTGTTTTGCAGCCCCTAGACCGGTTTGGACGTCTCCGGATTGTATTTTGATGGCACATGGTAGGGAAAATTGACCTTTTGGGATGACTCCTTATAGACAGTGGGATCTGGTTTCTGCAGTTTTTCTCCCCCCCCCCCCCTTTCCTTCTTTCCCTGCAATTACTGCTGTGGGTTTGCCTCTTGGCCTCAGGCTAGTAATCCTGCGTTTATCCATGTTGGCGGAGAGCAGGCCCGCCTTACATCACTTTTCCTTGCAGCCGCATTGTGAATCTCCTCCTACATTTGGGTCTCTCTGGACTCTTAAGAAATCATTTTAATGTAAGCTGCTTTGAGTCTCCTTTTGGAGAGAAAAGGCTGGAAATAAATAAACATAAACATCTATATAAATAAAATTGTAGTGTTCGTTTGTGGGATTAACAGAACTCAAAAGCCACTGGACGAACTGACTCCAAATTTGGACACAAGACACCTAACAACCCAATGTATGTCCTTCACTCAAAAAAAATTATTTTGTCATTTGGGAGTTGTAGTTGCTGGGATTTATACCTCACCTACAATCAAAGACCATTCTGAACCCCACCAAGGATGGAATTGAACCAAACTTGGCACACAGAACTCCCATGACCAACAGAATATACTGCAAGGGTTTGGTGGGCAGTTTCCTTTGGTTTTGGAGTTGTAGTTCACCTACATCCCGAGATCACTGTGGACTCAAAAAAAGATGGATCTGGACCAAACTCTACACGAATACTCAATATGTCCAAATGTGAACACTGGTAAAGTTTGGGGAAAGTAGAATCTTGACATTCGGGAGTTGTAGTTGCTGGGATTTATATTTCACCTACAATCACAGAGCATTCTGAATCCCACCAATGATAGAATTGGGCCAAACCTCCCACACAGAATCCCCATGTGGGCCACAGCAACACGTGGCAGGGGACGGCTAGTAATAATAATAAAAATGTAATGTTCATTTGTGGGATTAACAGAACTCAAAAACCACTGGACGAATTGACACCAAATTTGGACACAAGACACCTAACAACCCAATGTATGTCCGTCAATGTATGTCCTTCACTCAAAAAAATGATTTTGTCATTTGGGAGTTGTAGTTGCTGGGATTTATAGTTCACCTACAATCACAGAGCATTCTGAACCCCACCAACGATAGAATTGGGCCAAACCTCCCACACAGAACCCCCATGTGGGCCACAGCAACGCGTGGCAGGGGACGGCTAGTCTATATAAATAAAAATGTAATGTTCGTTTGTGGGAATAACATAACTCAAAAACCACTGGATGAATTGCTGCCAAATTTGGCCTCAAAACACCTTCTAACCCAAGGAGTGACCATCACTCAAAAAATTGATTTTGTCATTTGGGAGTTGTAGTTGTTGGGATTTATAGTTCACCTACAATCAAAGAGCATTCTGAACTCCAATGATGGAATTGAACCAAAGGTGGCACACAGGACTCCCATGACCAACAGAAAACACTAGAAGGGTTGGGGGGCATTGACCTTGAGTTTGGGAGTTATAGTTCACCTACAGCACTGTGCACTTAAAAAACGATTGATCTGGACCAAACTTGGCACGAATATTCCATATGCCCAAATATGAGCACAGATGG